AGGAGAGATGGTTGCAGGTTGAATTGTCGATCCTTTACAGTGTGCTTTAGCCTTTACGAGCGTCGTCTCACGACTGCGTCGGCTGTTGTTGGACGGGAAGCGCTTCCATTCATTTGAGGATCTGGTTTTAGATGCAAAGGGATTGTGCGCCGACCCGTGGATCACCGGGAGCCCTGTCGATGTTGATCGACAGAAGCACCGTCAATTAGAATCCAGGGCGCCTCTTTTCTCGCCGGACGAAGTGTACGCCTCGGACGGAGGCGCGCGCAATCTCAAGGCACGCGGCAACCCAAGCAGGCTAGCTGTGGGAGCGTCAGGTACCGGCCAGGGGAAAGACGTATTGCTACTTGTCTGGGGCGATTCCTCGGGGAAGCCACAAACAATTACGCAGAATGTGTAGGTTTTCTTCAGTGTCTGCGGCATGCTTCTGCATTTCCAGCTCCACGTTTTGCTTTCTACACTGATTAGCTGTCAGTTGCACGGCAGATCCAAGGTGCATGGCGTTGCCGGGAGCCTTCGCTCTGGGCACTGTACGAAAAAGCGTTGAGCATGCTAGCAGCGCTGCAGGCGCAGCATGGCGTTTCGGAGGCAAGAGTGCAGCACATTCTATCGCGCACGCAATATTGATGCAGACGGCATCTGCAAGGAGGTGTTGGATAGAGCGTTAGCAGGGACGCCGGCATTGTTTGGTAATTGCCATGCTGGCCATCGCTTGGACGTCCATTCCCTGTGCTTTTTTCGGTTTCGTGCGTGGTTTTTCCCGCAAAAGGATCAAGGATGATCCTCGATGGTCCTCGCCGAAGGAAAAATGCACACGTCCGAGCGATGCTAAGGCACTGTAGCGAACACAACTGTATCCGCCACCGTGACGCAGAGTACGGATTCGGCGTGCCCTCAGGTCTCTTCCCAATCCTCTAAACCTCAATCCTCCTGACCGAAGCCTCAATCCTCTAAACCTCAATCCTTAAACCTCAATCCTTAAACCTCAATCCTCTAAACCCCAATCTCTTCCTAATCCTCTAAACCTCAATCCTCTAAACCTCGAGCATGTGGTCGTGAACTGGGGGCCCTGAGCGCCGAGCGCCAGGAGCGAGGCGCCCGTCATCGCACCGCGCCAGGGGGGCGATAAACGGGTCGGCTTCGGCGCGACTCCCAGCCAGGTCTGCCTCCTGCCCCTGCCCCCTCGTCCGCCAGGGTGGTGCGTGGCAATCCGCTTGGGCTCGCGTGTGCGGCGATGCCCCTCCGACCCAGCCTTTTGGTAGAAGGATGGCTATCCCGATCCTGCTAGGGAGTGGACCCCGCCTCACGGCCCGCAATGCTATACCTGTGTTCCCGAACCATATACGCCTTTCCAAAGCATATTCCGACAGCACTGTTTACAGGACGGCACATGGTTACAAATCCTACACATGACGTATCTTAGCCTCTCTTTACACGCAGTCCCGACAATATATCAACCTTATGTGGTTGCGTGAAGATGATTTGCATTGGAAAGAAATGACTGGTCTGTTCGAAGATCCTTTCTGGCCCTTAAATCCTTCCCAACCCAAGCGTCACCTGCTCATAACCCCAAAATCCGTTCCAATCCAAGCGGCTTGTGTGCAAAACCCTTCCTCATCCCTAAATCCTTCCCAACCAAGCTGTGCTCTATCTAAAACCCATCCCAACCACGAAAATATTCCTGGTACACGCGTCTTCGGGAAAATCCGTCCTGATCCTGGCATTCCATCGCGACCAAAGTGTTTTCTATTGCAAACCTCTCACAACCGAAAAATCCGTCCCAACCCTACTCGTCTCCCATGCAAAAAGTCCGAACCCCAGAATCCAGACCAACCAAAGCGCTTTGTTTTCAAAATCCTTCCTAACCCCAAAGCCCTTCCGAGCACAAGCGTCTTATATACAAAATCTGGCCCAACCGAAGCGTTTTCAAAGAAATCCGTCCACAACCCAAAATCCTTCTCAGCCCAAGCGTTTTCGGTGCAAAATCCTCTCTCACCTCAAAATCCTTCCCAACCAAAGGGCTTTCTGAATAAATCCTTCCCAACACCAAATACCTTTCCAACCAAAGCGTCTTCTGCGTAAAATCCGTCCCAACCCCAGAATCCTGCCCAGCCGTAGCGTGTTCTTGGTACCATGTTTATCAGTCCCCAAAGCTTGACCAAACGAAGCGTTTGTTGTGTGCAAAATCCTGCCCGACCTCATCATCATTCCCAACCCAAGCGTTTTCAATGTAAAGTCCTTCCCGGCCCCCAAATCAGTCCATGCCCAAGCGTTTTTTGTGCAAAACGCTTCTACCCTAGAATCCTGCCCAACCCCTGCATGTTCAAAATCCTTCCTAACCTCGGTGTTCTGAATTTATTTTCTCTGTGAGTTAGATCCTCTCTGGAAATTTGTGTTAGATGTCCTGTTAAGTCGAAATGTCTCTCTCAAGGGCGTCTGCGCGCGGATCTCCCATGGCTCGTCACCGTCACTATCATCGGTTGACATGCTGAAAGCAAGCGCTACAGCAAACAACCCCTAAACCAATTGACGCGGCGCTGTAGCGAAGACAAATGTATCCGCCACCGTGCCGCTGAGCCCGGATTTGGCGTGCCCTCAGGTCTCTTCCCAATCCTCTTAGCCTCAATCCTCCCTCCTGAAGGGTCCTTAGTAAAGGGGCCCAGAGCCCAAATTGCCCGATTTGGCGGGCTTATCGCGTCGTGTCGCGGCTTATCGCGTGGCTTTTTCGGAGCCAAGAGGGCCCCAAAACGGTCAAAGAAGGCCCCGAGTCGCCGAATGATCGCCACAGGACGCTCAAGATGCCCCCCAGACGGCCCAAGAGGCTTCCAAGACGCCCCGAGAGGCCCCAAGAGGCCATAATCAATGATGATCCGACGAACGTGTTTGAAGTTTTTGTCTCGAGTTCTCGCCTTTTCAGCATCCCGACGCTCCCAGACGGCCCCACAGGCCCTCAAGATCACCCCAAGAATACCCAATTGGTCTTCAAGAGGGCACCAAAACAGCCCAAGAGGGTCCCAAAACGGCCCAAGAGGCACCCAAGACGGCCCAAGAGGCCCAAATGACGGCCACAAGAGGGGCCCCAGATGGGGACCCGAACGGGCCTTTCGAGCCCTCAGCCCCGAGGGGGGCCCCAGGAGGCTCCAAGAGGTCCCCAAGAGGCCCCAAAGAGGCCCCCAAGAGGCCCCCGAAGGCCACCAGATCCGCTGCCACTTGTGGTCGTGCCACAGGGGTGCCCAGTGTGCTAGACCCTTCTGGTTTGCTTGCGTTTCTTTTTCCAATAGAACTCTTCGGCCCGTGCCACACGGAAGACCGCGCCGCTGCGCAACCCTCGTCTCCAAAACAGGCCGTTTCGCTCGGGAATCGTGAAACAATCGCGACTTGGGGGATCCTAGCCCAAGACGCCTTATGCTAAGAATGAGCGTTTCGCCCAAGACGGCCTCAAGATGACGGCAGACGGACCAAGAGACCCCCAAGAGGTCTCCAAGAAGGCCCAAGAGGCCTCCAAGAGGTCCTCCGGGAAGACCCGAAGAGGCCCAAATCATTGATCTTCACTAGGGATTTGAAAGATTTTGGCATTTGCTTCTCTTCGGCCCTCCGACGGCCCGAGACGGCCCAAAAATCGCCCAAAAATGCCCGAGAGGCATCCAAGGTGGCCCCGGAACGGGCCAAGAAGCCCCCGAGACTGCCCCAAGATGGCCCAAGAGGCCTCCAAGACGCCCAAGATGGCCTGCAAGCCTCCAAGACGGCCCTGGAGCACCCCAAGAGGGCCCCAAGTCGGCCTCAAGAGGCCCCCAAGACGGCTTCCGACGGCGTCAGACGGGCCAGGAATGCCCCAAGACGGCCGAAGAGGCCCCCGAGAAGACACCAAAGGCCTCCAAGAGGTCCAAGGAGGCCCCCAAGATGCCTCCAAGAGGCTCCCAGGAAGCTCCCAGGAAGCCCCTATGAGTTCCCCCAGAGACTCCCAAGATGCCACCTCCTCCTCCTCGTCCTCCTCCTCCTCCTCCTCCTCCTCATCCTCCTCCTCGATCCTCTTCCTGTATCCTCCTCCTCCTCCTCCTCCTCCTCCTCCTCCTCCTCCTCCTCCTCCCCCTCCTGCTCCTCCTGCTCCTCCTCCTCATCCTCCTCCTCCTCCTGATCTTCCCCGCCATCCTCCCACAAGTGTTCCTCGAAGGGTTTCCACAACGGTTGGGGGACCACATGGGCCGATAGCTTGGCAGAGCTCTTGCCACAACGCTTGGCCACATGGGCGGTTCCAAGAGGCAGGGGGCGGCGGTGATTCGCGTAGGCGTCTTCGTAGTATGGTCGAGAACTTTTGCATGGGCGTCGCTTAATGGAAGGCTACAAGTGGTGGTGGGAGAGAAACATGCACCTGCAGTGCCCCTTTTGGGCCCCAGGGGGCCCCTGTAAGGCCGCTGTAGGGCACAAATGGTGCACCATTCTCCCCACCATCTATCGCCCCCCATTGCGCAACGCCCGATGTGCTGAGTGTGTCGCGGCGCCGGCTCTTGCCACCACGCTTCGGCGCGGCACGCTGACTCGACCCCCGACGGATCCGAACAAAAACCGAGCACCGCTGAGCATCGGGTAACCGCCGAACCCTACCCCCCCAACGGCGTGGCCTGGGCCCCACTGGCCGATTTACCACCTTAGATGGGGATATAGGCTGCTCCTTTCGGGCCTCGAGGGGTGTATCCCCAACTTGGGGAGCTGAGATGGTGGGGGTCTGCATGGGGATGGGGATGGGGGTCGGTTAAACGACCCCGAACTTCGATAGGTTGAGACGCCTGTTGCCCTTTGAAAGCCTCCTGGGGTACCCTCGCAGTCACGGCTGGATCCGCCAGTAGATTCTGACCAGACCGCGCCAACACGGACGACGACGAGGGCAGCAGCGGGAGCCAATCAAAGATACAATCGACGTCGAGGTGGTCGGTTAAACGATGATGAACCGCGCAGGGGCGGGCGGCGCGGGGGCCCAGCGGCAGCATCGCCAGAAAGCGGGCCTTGTACAACATCCGCAGCAGAGCGCGATCGTACGGCCTCCCGGTCCCTCCGCCTCCCGCCGCTGCTCCTCGCTGCCTCCTCCTTCCTCGTCCTCCTCGCTCCTCCTCCTCCTCCTCCTCCTCCTCCTCCTCCTCCCCCTCCTCCTCCTCCTGCTTCCTCCTCGTTCTCCTCGTCCTCCTCATCCTCCGTCCTCCTCCTCCTCATCCTCCTCCTCCACCCTCCTCGATCCTCTTCCTGTATCCTATCCTTCCCCCTCCTCCCTGCTCCCTCCTCCTCCTCCTCTCCTCCTCCTCCTCTCCCTCTCTTCCTCCTCCTCCTCCCCCCTCCTCCTCCTCCTCCTCCTCCTCCTCCTCCTTTCCCTCCTCCACTTTCATCCATTCTCCTCCTCGTCATTACCTGCCTGCCCCATCGTTGCTAACACATCCCTGCTCGTTCCTCGTTCCTCCCTCTTCCTCCTCGTCCTCCTCCTCCTCCTCCTCCTCCTCCTCGTGATCCCCATCTTGATCAACGTTGTCATCACCACCATCATCCCCGCCGCCAGCATTCGCGGGCCACGCGGGCCAAAGGACTGCTCAGAACTCCGATAAGAGGGTCCGTGTGTGGAGAATACTAGCTAGATCGCGCGCGCGGGGCGGCCACTGGGGATCCCTGGATGAAAAAGCACCGCGGACGTGGCGCGCGGGACGCGGATCACGGATGGTTTTCGGTGTGGGCGCGGCCTTCACGACCACCGGCCGGGAGCGTTCCAGGAGCACCAGCTAGGAGAAATATCAACCCCAGGATGGTTTGTTCACGGTCCAAGAAGACTCACGAAACCTCAAAGAGCGCTCTCAATGTGCACCCAAGGAGGCCCTTCAGAAGCCCGAATCATATTGTGCCCATTCTTGTCCCAGAACTGCAGCGTCCCCAGCCTTTTCAGCCTGCCGACAACCAAGACGACCACGGAAACATCCAAGATCGCCCCGCAGACGCCCCAAGAGGCGCCCAGGAGGGCCCCCGAAACGTTCCAAGAGGGGCTGCAGGGCGGCCCGAGGCGGCCGTCACGACCCCCGAGAGCGCCCCCGAAGCGCTCCACGGGGCATGCGGAAGAGCCCAAGAGGGTCCGACACGGTCCAAGAGCGTTTCAATACACCCAGGGCTGCTTCTCTCACGGTCCAAGACGACCCCCGAACCCCCCAAGAGCGCTCCCAGCGAGCCCCTTTTCAGAAGGCCCGGAGAGGTACAAATCCGCCGACCCTGTCGGCGTGTGGGAGGGGCTTGTCCGTTCGTCATCTCCCCGTCATTCGTTGGTCGTCGTCTCTGTCGTCCCCTTTCCCTGCCTCCCCCTTCTCCCCTGGGCTCTTCGAAGCTGCCCCCTTTCCCAGGGAAGCTCCACCCCTCCTTTTTGTCCGCCGCTCGGAAGCTCCCCACCACCCCTTCGCGCTCAGGAAGCTAACTCTCCCCCTTTTCCAGGGGGGGCTTAGCTACCCCCCCCCTTTGAACCCCGCCTGCCGAAAGCTCCCCCTCACTCCCATCCTTTTTGGCTAAATGGGGGGGGGGCTTGGTAGTCCCCCCACGTTGGCTAAAGAAAGAGACGCCGAAGACTAAAAGGGCGCCGAAAACCAACAGATCGACGAAAACCGAAGGGCCACAGAAAACAGAAAGGGTGCGAAAACCAGAGGCGCGCCGAAAACCGAAGGAACGCCGAAAACCAGAAGGGCGACGAAAACCGAAAAAGCACCGAATACCAAAAGGAGCGCCGAAACCCAAAGGAGCGCCGAAAGCCAAAGGGGCGCCTAAAACCAAAAGGTCGCCGACAATCAAAAGGGAGCCGAAAATCAAAGGGGCGCCGAATGCAATTACTCACTGCGTGGAGCTCCCCATATGTGCATGTAATGTTGTATTTGATGCCGTAGTGAGCGTCTGTTCATGAGTGTCTGACTATAAGAGCGCGCCCATGTGGGCGACAGGCCCGACGAAGACAGGTGAACACTCATGCCAGCGAGCGAGTACGAGTCAGAATGAGCTTTGAGTACGATTGAATATGAGCCTCTTCCTCCTCACTCCTCCTTCTCAGCTGCCAGGCCGTGCCCTCCTCAGCCCGCGGTTGCTTCGGATCTCCTCGAACGTGTATGTGTTTTAGAATAGTTGGCAGTGGGATCTGTAAAACGAGCGTTTAGCCGCGCCTGAGACATCCTCCAATTCTGCTGTAGTCGCAGACGGTGTTGGGCACCGAAACGGGCAAACCGCCTGAGACATCCCCACAAACTGGCCGAGAACGGGCCCGTGATACACGCTGCTCACCTCAGGAATGCTGAAACCAGCGCCCCGACGGAGACATCCTCCAAATCTGCTGCAATCGCAGACTGTGTTGGGCACCGAAACAGGCAAACCGCCTGAGACATCCCCACAAACTGGCCTAGAACGGGCCCGTGATATACCCCTTGGCGGCTCACCTCAGGAATGCTGAAACCAGCGCCCCCACTGACACATCCTCCAAATCTGCTGCAATCGCAGACTGTGTTGGGTACCGAACCAGGCAAACCGCCTGAGACATCCCCACAAACTGGCAGCGAACGGGCCCGTGATATACCCCCTGGCGGCTCCCCTTAGGAGTGTTGAAACCAGCGCCCCGACTGTGACATCCTCCAAATCTGCTCTAATCGCAGAGGATGTTGGGCACCGAAACAAGCAAACCGCCTGAGACATCCCCACAAACTGGCCGCGAACGGGCCCGTGATATACCCCCTGGCGGCTCCCCTTAGGAGTGCTGAAACCAGCGCCCCGCCTGAGACATCCTCCAAATCTGCTCTAATCGCAGACGATGTTGGGCTCCGAAACACGCAAACCGCCTGAGACATCCCCACAAACTGGCCGCGAACGGGCCCGTGATATAACTCCCTGGCGGCTCCCCTTAGGAATGCTGAAACCAGCGCCCCGATTGTGACATCTTCCAAATCTGCTCTAATCGCAGACGATGTTGGGCACCGGAACATGCAAACCGCCTGAGACATCCCCACAAGCTTGCCGCGAACGGGCCCGTGATATACCCCCTGGCGGCTCCCCTTAGGGGTGCTGAAACCAGCGCCCCGCCTGAGACATTCTCAAAATCTGCAGTGTGCTGAGTAACTCAGACTATGAGAAAGTCTGAGTATGAGTAAGTATGTGTATGTGTACGCTTGGAATGAGTAAGTCTGGGTATGAGTAAGTCTGTGTATGAGTATATATGTGTATGTGCACGTCTGGGTATGAGTAAGTCTGAGTATGAGTAGGTCTGAGTATGAGTAAGACTGAGTATGAGCAAGTCTGTGTATGAGAAAGTCTGTGTATGAGTAAGTCTGGGTATGAGAAAGTCTGCGTATGAGTACGTCTGGGTATGCGTAAGTCTGAGTATGAAAAAGTATGTACATGAGTAAATATGTGTTCTGGGTGTGTTCTTGTTCTCTGGAGTCGGCGGCGTCCAAGACATAACAAGAACCCCATCTTAGGATATGGGGAAAAGAGCGCCGAAAAGCAATGGGGCGCCGAAAATCAAATAGGCGCCGAAAACCAAAAGAACGCCCAAAAAGAAAGAGGCGCCGAAAACAACAAAAGACTCCGAAAACCAGCGGGGCGTCGAAAACAGCAGGTGCGCCGAACACAAAACGAGCCCTGGCAACCAAAGAGGCGCCGAGAATCACAGGGGCGCCGACAACCGATGAGCGCCGCAACCCGAAAGTGCGCCAAAAAACCCAGGGTCGCCGAACATGAAAAGGACGCCAGAAACCAAAGGGGCGCCGAGACCCCAAAGAGGCGCCGAAAACCAAAGGGGTGCCGGAAACCAACGATGCGCCGAAAACCACAAGCAAGAACGCAGAAACACCCTAGGGGCGCTGATTACCACAAGGGCGCCGAAAACACAAGAGGCGCCGAAAACAACAGACGCTCCGAAGACATACAGGGCGCTGAAAGCAAACAGGGCGCCGAAAACTAAAGGGGTGTCGAAAACCGCAGGGGCGCCAGAAACCAAAGAGGCGCCGAAAACCAAAGAGGCGCCGAAAACTAAAGGGGCGCCGAAAACCAACTGTGCACCGAAAACCACCACAAGAACGCCGAATAACCAAGGGGGTGCCAATAACCGAAATGGAGCCGCAAACGCAAGGCGCGCCGAAAACAGCAGACGCTCCGAAGACATACAGGGCGCCGAACACAAACAAGGCGCCGAAAACTAACAGGGTGCCGAAAACCGCAGGGGCGCCGAAGACCAAAGGGGCACTGAAAACTAAAGAGGCGACGAAAACCACAGGGGCGCCGAAAGCCAACTGCGCACCGAAAACTTAAAGAGCGCCGAAAAACTACTAAAGGGGCGCCGATAACCAAAAGAGCAACGCAAACGAAATGGCGCCAAAAATTAAAAGCGCGCCGAAAGCCGAAGGACGCCGAAAACCAAAGGGGCGAGCACCGAAGGAGAGCCGAAAACCACAGGATCCTCAGAAACCAAAGGAGCGCCGAGAAGCAAAGGGTCGCCGAACACCGGAAAGGGGCACCGGAGGCCAAAACGGCGCCGAAAACCAAAGGGGCGCCGAGAGCCACGAGTACGCCCAAAACCAACGGGGCGCCGAAAACCAACGGAGAAGAGTAGCTTCGGAGCACCCCCTTTCAGCCAGGGCCCTCCAGCTGGAAAAGCCCACAGAGGGAGGGGACGGGGGAAAGGGTCGCCTCGAAAGCTCACCCCCCTGTGGGACAGGGGAGCCCAGGCCTGCCCCTGGCCCCGAAAAGGAGGCGAGGGGGGGGGCATCCAAGCCCCACCCCATTTGGCTAAGGACCCCCCAGCCACAAAACCAAAACAGAAGGAACTCGGGGGGGGAAACTTCGGAAGGCCCGCCCTTTGGAAGGACCTCGGGCCCCGGACAAGAAGGGTGGCAGCTTGGAAGCTCCCCTCCCTTTAGCTAGGGCCCCCCTAGCTCCGAAATGGCCACAGAAGGAAGTGAGGGAGGGTAGCTTCGGAAGCCCCCCCCTTTTCCAAAGGAGGGGGGAGGTAGCGTAAAGCTGGGACACCCCTTTTAGTGAGAAGTGTAGCACGAACGCTCTCTTCCATTCATACATCTGTACACAAAGAAATGAGAATGTGCCCATACGCATGTATATACACAAGTGTAGATTGTGTACATGTTAGCTCGCGTGGGCCCAGACACTGATGCCTTGCAATACACGTGGTGCTGTGTAGGTGGTGGACTCCATGTAGTGCAAGGCGTGTACGTCTTGCAGGCGACACGGTGCGCAGAGCAGTGCAGCGCAATGCACCGCAGCGCCAAGCCATACGGCTCCGTGCAACGAGGTACATTGCTGGTGCGACTGCAGTGCACTGCGGCTGCCAAGCGATGCAGAACAGTGCAGTGCGATTCCAGTGCAAGGGGGGGGCTTGTGACAGGGCGGCGGCGACGGAAGGGAACGGGGCCCCCGGGCCCGCCAGCGGGCCTTCTGTCTTGCCAAGGGGTGCGGCGACGGACGGGAACGGAGCCGCCAGGACCGCTCATGGGCCCAGCCAGCTCCGTAGAAGGGGGGCAGGAATCCCGGAATGCAAGCACGGCTTGGAAACTAGGAGGGGATCGGTCTCGCTAGGAATCGATCGAGACCACTACCCGTGTACGAGTTTATACCTGCACAGTAGAACCATCGGGCGCGCTTCAGGTTCGTCCAAGGTCTAGCTAGGGAACTGGTCGTCTCGCGACGCAGAGAGCATTATGTGATCCACCATGGGTCACTTCTTCCTGTGTCTGCTGCTCGTTGTGTGTTCACCTCCTTTCTCGCATCAATTCGCATGCGATTATGCTATATTTCCTCCGCCGACGCTACTTACCCGTAATGTCGTTTAGCCTGTGCTTGCAATCGCTGATCCCTTTCTCGATTGGGCGTTCTGCTGAGTGGGCCTTGCCGGTGTTCAAGGCTTAGAACACCAACGCTAGGTGACAAATAGGAGTCTCTGAAATTTGAATGAAACCTGTCTCCAGTCTTCGAGCCTGCGATAATCTCTCACGCACTGCGAAACCAATGAATGGTGCGTCTGCAACACCTTTGCGGAGTCCTGTTGGGGCCCTGTTGTATGGTCTGAGGGATCTCTTGGGCCGTCCTGGGGATGTCTCAAGCTACTTTGGGGGGCTTAGGCCGTGTGGGAGCTCTGGTGGGCCGTCTTCGAGCCACATTGGGCCATCTTTCAAGTATTCGGAGCGCTTTTGATGCTCTGGTGCCCTGGGGCTGGACATTCATATGGAGGGCCCCTGGGTATCTTACGGGGCTCTTGGTGTTGCGCTGTGGCTGCCTTAGGAGCGCACGCTCGGGGTTGCTAGAGTTTCTTGGATGTTCCCGGATGGTGTCTCAAAAGGCTCGTTCATCCCCCTTCTCTTTCCCTTCCCCTCCCCGTCCCCCCCTCCTCCCCCCTCTTCTATCCACCCGTCCTCCACCTTCCCCCTCCTCCCCCTGCGTATTCCCCTGCACCTCCCCCTCCTCCTCCTCCTCCTCCGCCCCTCGTCGTCCCCGACCTCCGCCTCTTCCGCCCCTGGCTTCCACCACGACAACGACGGGCGACGGCGACGACGCCCCCCCCTCCGAGAGAAGTTGAACGTGAACTTGCCGCCCGGCCGCGAAGCGCTCAGCAGGTTGGAGCGGCCCGTGTCGCCAGAGGCCCTGCGGCGGGCGGCGGCAGCGGGCGGTGCCTCCAGGGGGAAGTGTACAGCCATCGTGGTGTTACCCGAAGGAGCGCCAAACAAGGAACGAGCATCGGCCACGGATGTGTTCCAGTGAGTTCCACGACCTCGAAATCGGGTGGGTGGCCCGGAAACCAAGTCCCTCCCAGACCCCAAGGCGGTCCTTATATTTTTTTCCCGCGCCAGAGAACCCAAACTCCATGAATCACCACGCGAGCGAGCAATCGAATGACATCCGATGGCACCGGTGACCTTTCGTCACGGGCGACTCTAGCGGTCCAAGGCGGTCCTTATCTCAGCGTTCTGGCTGCACGACTAGACGCGCCCTCAGCACCTCGGAGAGACCTCGAAGCGGCCCGCCTGTCGCCCTTATTGGGGGGGGCCTCGTGATGGGGCCGGCCTCGGGGCTGCGGGGCCCCGTCGAGAGAAGGGGCTCGGGGTGAAAGTTTGAATGGCAGCTCACCTCCTCCTCCTCCTCCCCCTCCTCCTCCTCCTCGTCGGAACGGGGGCACAGCGCGCGCCCCGAAGCGCTCTCCCGCGCGCCCCCTTTGCGCGCTCCGCGGCGTCCCCCCGCGCGCCCTCTCGGGCGCTCCCAGGCTACCATCTTGCTTGCTCTTGCGAAGCGACGGTGACCGACGCTACGTGACGGCAGTCGACGTTACATCGACGCTAGATCGGCGCCTTTCGGATGACCCGACGCTGGCGCACGCCTGTACACTCTGAAAAAGGAGGTACCTATACATAAAGGGTTCCCATGGACCGAGACCAAAAAGTTGCTCGAGGGGACCACAAGAACACGCGTCGAACAAATCGAAGCGCCAAATGTGTGGGTGGGGTGGCGGCTACGAACAAAAATGCGGGAGGGGGCGCCAATTAAGCAGGTGTTTTCTGCCGCCGGCAAACCCCAGGAGAGGACGGCCAAATAATGTCAACGACCACGACGACAACGCCCACGAACAGGCCTGGAACCCAATGTTTTCATCATCGCGCAAAGAAGCGCTGCATGACCGGCACCTACGTACATTTCTTTCTCGCCATCCCTACGCTATACGCCAAAGAAAAATGTGCACCGATTCTGCCCACGCCAAACACGAACCCAACCAAAATCGCTGCAAACTTGTACCCCGACGCTAACTCCGCGTGGATTGTTCAACCGTGAACCTTGACCTATCGCAGTTCGACTCAGATCTTTCTACATATCCGACTCCGGCATGCTGGGGACGTTCAACCTTGAAAGCCCGCGCTGGAATCGGATCAGAGCAGCGCGAACCTGGGATATTACGGCCATGCGGCTGAGCCAGGAAGGCACGTGCACCTGCCCCTGGCCCAGGCTTGGCCTGATATACATAAGAACCCAACGAACGCTTTGGGCGTAGGCGGTCGACGACCTTCTCCCTCCCCCAAGCAACGTTGGCAATTCGAGGCTCTGATTTCTCATCTTGGGAAGTGGGCCTGTCTGTCGATTTGACGGCTACGTTGTCTGGGGGGCCATATGCGAACCCTACCCTTACCCCCCAAGATCTCTGAAGTGAACCCCACCCTGCCCCTCGGAAATCGTGAGGGTAGGGGTAGGGTTCGCATGTGGCCCCCTATTGTCTCCGCCGCTGCTTACCCGCCGCCCGTTCCCAGGCCCGTCGGTCGGTTTGGCGGCTATGTTGGCGCCGTCGCCGCCCCGTCGTCGCCTCGTCGCCGCCCGCTTCTGGGTTCGCCTGTCGCTTTGGCGGCTGTGTCGTCGCCGTCGCCGCCCCGCCATGGATGGCACGGCGTAGACTCTCCTTCTCTTACAAAAAAAAGATTCGACCCCCCCCCCCCGGGATTACCCGCACCCTTCTCGCATCACGATATACATCTGATGTTGCCCCCTCGCCCATCCCGATATATATGCGCGCGCACTCGGTTAGCAAAATGCCATCGGTTTTTCAGATAGAAAATCCTGTTGCAAAGAAACAAGACGATGTTCAAAAACCGTCGGATTCCTGAAGAGTACAATATCGAATGTCCAAACAACAGATGGACAACCAATGGATTCGCAACAATGACTTTCTTATAAATAAAGATGCTTCAACTAGTTCAAAGAATCCGGCCAAACGGCTCTCGCCCGCGCGCATGTCGAAATCGTTCGAACGCCCCTGCGCGCGTGCTGTCGCGAAACTCCTTTGCCAGAAACAGGACTAAGTGCACACGCGCGCGTCGCCGCGCGCGCATGTCGAAATCACTTCTTGCGTTGTAAAAGAGTGTCGTAAGGACTTCAAACACCGAGTGCCCAAAACACAAGTACAGACACATGTCCTCGAACCGTCAAATTTCAACGCAGGAAGCATGAACGCGCCCTTGCGACTTCTTAAGACAACCATGAACTGTTTCAACATGTTCATGAAATTCTGCCAAGCGGGCCTCTCGCGCCGCAAACCGAAATCCGCCGACCCCTTGGGGATCATCGGCGTGTGAGATGCTTCCCCCTCCCCAAACCCCTCCCCCGGGAGCCCGGTCCGGTCGATTTGGAGGGGGGGGGGGGTCCGGCACGAGCGCAGCACGGCCGGGACGAGCGGTTCACGGGGCTTTTCCGGGCCCAAGAGGGCCTCAAGACGGGCCAAGAAGCCCCCAAGAGGCCTCCAAGACGGCCCACGAAGGCCCCGAGACGCCAAACGACCGCTCCAAGACGCCCAAGATGGCCCCAAGACGGGCCAAGAGGTCTCCAAGACGGCCCCCGAGGTCCCAAACAAGCCTCCCAAGAGGGCCCCAAGAGTCTAAAATTGTTGATTTTCCATAGTGTTTTTCGATGTTTTTTGCTTTTCCGCCTTTTCGGCTTCCCGACGCTCCAAGACGGCCAAAGAGGCCCCAAAGACAGCCCCAAGATGGCCCAAGAGGCCCCCAAGACGGCCTCCAGACGGCCCAAGACGGCCCCAACACGGCCCAAGAGGTCCCCAAGACGGCCCAAGAGGGCTCCAAGACGGCACCAAGAGGGGCCCAAGAGGGCGACCAAACATGTTGAAACTCTAGCTTTCTGCCCCCAGGAGCCCCAGGGGGCCCCAAGAGTGCCCCAAGAGGCCCCCAGAGGCCCTCACGAGGCCGCCCAGACGCCCCAAGGAACCCCCAAGAAGCACCCCAGAGGCTCCGAAACGGCCCCCAAGTGGCTCCAAAACTCGCGGTGTCGCCGTCCGCTCGGACCCCCCCGCGGAACTGCCCGAGACCCTCTGGCGGTGGCGGCGAACAGACACCAAACAAATATCACTCGCCTTTTCACCCCTTCGCAGCTTCTACTACCCCCAGATTGGCATAAACAAGGGGTCGGCGGTGTGGCGTAAGCCTAAGAATCATGCGTGCACACCCTTGTGCACGTGCTTGGGGGAAGGGGGTGTGGGCACGTTCCGTGTCAAATAATACCATGCGGTGTCTCTCGCGCGTCGGCCGCGCGCGCAGGGCCTTTCCAAAACCTTCATCGCCGACGCGAAGACGCCGTCATCGTCGTCGGTGTGATCAGCATCGGCGCCATCATTGAATGTGCCGTCGTCATGGCCACCTTCGCCACTATCGCTACCCTCAAAATCGTGACTACCGTTGTCGGCCTCGCCATCATACCGCGCCCGCCCAAGTCACCGACTCTCACTGAAGTGCCCGCTGGGAAGTGCCAAGCGGTCAGCGCCACCGCGGCCGCGCTGGTTGCACAAAACCTACTGGCCGCTGCGTGCGCGAGCATGCTTTCGCGAGCGCGGCCACAATCGCCGCCGCATGGGTTTTGCAAACCATATTGCGGGTGGGTGGGTGGGATGTTTTCAACAAGGTGGGAGGTGGTCAAGCGCGGGGCACGGTAGGCAATTACACCACATATACTGCACCGCCAAAATTGCATCACATTGATTGTACCGCGCATATTAGAGTGAGGGGGCCGGACGGCCATTCACTCTCACGGGGCGCGTTGCTGAATTGAGGTCATGTTGTGCGGGTTGTTTTTGTTGTTGTTGTTGCTGTTGCTGTTGCTGTTGCTGTTGTTGTTGTTGCTGTTGTTGTTACTTGTTTGTTTGTTTGCTTGCTTGCTTGCTTGCTTGTTTGTTTGTCGGTTGGTTCCTTTTTTATATGTGTTTATTTATTGTCGTCGTCCCCCCCCGACACAGCCCGCGACTCGCCCGCCCACGACCCACTTGCGACCGACCCGCGACCCGCCCGCGACCCATCCGTCACCCACCCGCGACCCACCCCGCGACCCACCCGTGACCCGCCCGCGACCCACCCCGCGACCCAGCTTTCCACCCACCCGCGACCCACGCGCAACCCATCCGCGACCCACCCGCGACCCACCCACTCCGCGACCCACCCGCGACCCGCCCGCGACCCATCCCGCGACCCACCAACATTGCTTCAAAAGTCGGCGCTGGCGGCGGGCTCACTGCATACGTGGGAACATGTTGGCGCCTGCGGCATGCTTGTTCAGAGCCCCCCGGACTGCCGACGTCCTCGCCGCCCCCATCACTCTTATCCGCACCTGCGGGGTGCTACGTGTGTATATATACTCACAAAATTACATCACGTAGATTACACAGCACATACTGCAATTCATAAACATATACTTGTACAGAAATAGGTGTACGTAGCACCCCGCAATTGCGGATAAGAGTGAGGGGGCGGGCGCGGGCGACGCGGGCGTCGTCAAGCCAGCGGACCTCGCGGCCCCCAACTTCCCTGTCGATGGCACTCTCCTCCTCCTCCTCCTCCTCCTCCTCCTCCTCCCCCTCCTCCTCCTCGTCCTCGTCCTCATCGTCATCGTCATCCTCCTCCTCCACCTCGTCCTCCTCCTCCTCCTCTTCTTCCTCGTCCTCCCTCTCCCCGCCTCGTCCTTTCATCATCGTCCTCCCATTGTCGTCCTCCCCCTCATCGTCCTCCATCATCGTCCTTCCATTGTCGTCCATCATCATCATCCTCCCCCTCCTCCCCTCGTCCTCCTCCTCCCCCTCCTCCCCTCCTCCCCCTCCTCGTCCTCCTGCT